TGCACCCTATAGTAGTACCCTGCCTGGGGATGATGAGAGTGGGACATCCACTGTGTGTAATCTCACTTTGTATGATTTCTGGGCTTTAATGGGGGCTGAATAATGACTGCATTAGCAGGATCTGTAGTCAGTGTGCAGATTGGATCTGCAAACCCACGGTATCCCCTGAATTAGACTCCCACCCACCCTCTCCTATTCGTTGCGTAACATTGGGGGTTATGTAAATAGGGTAATTCTTGGGTTGCAAAAGTGGAGCAGTCACCATGGAAACCTGAAATGGAATGCTCCCGCTGATAATTCTGCGTTTAGAACTTTGCTTGAGAGATACTTTTTTTTTTTTTTTTACCTCCTAAGTACCTTATTTCTAAATTAAAATGGTTATTTGTGACCTTGTAGCAGTTAATAGCCCGCCCTAACCTTACTTTGCTACAGTAGTTGGGTAGGGAGTGCAGATGTTATTGGTAATTGTAATGTTATTGGTAATGTCTGAGAGTGATGGCAGTAGCAGCCAGATGTTCTATTCTCCCAGGTTCAGTCTAGAGTGACTATCTGCTGTCTAATCTGCAGAACTGGTTTAGCTGTAATTAGGCTCTGCGCCTCTTTGTAATCCTAACTCCGTGAAGCAAAGGTGCTGCGTGGCCATCTCTCGAACAGATACCAATTGCATAGATTCAACAGCTTTTCCTGGTTGTAAGTAAAATTTCAATTGCTTCCTGGTCTCCTATTCCAGATGGCATAGAGAGAGAGAGAGAGAGTGTTTTTATTAATATTATATTATATTATATTAGTGGTACTATACTACTAGATCCCCATGGTGTGAGCATTTTTACATTGATTTGCTTGTGAGCTCATGGCTTCTACTTACTATTTGACATCATGCAATGTATATCATGCCTGTGAGAAGTAAAGTCTAATTAGCATGTGTTATAAGAGTGCAGAGAGGCATTTAGTTTCCCCCTGATGCAAAACAATAAAAGAAAGTCTGAAGAGGGGGATGGTCTGTGTGTAGGCAACCCCCCACTTCAGAGTCTGTAAAATAGCAATGAGCACTCTGTTTTAGAGTAAAGTCTGCAGTTCATCAATTTAGATTTTCTCTATGATCCCTTTAACCGAAAGCGCCTACATAAAATAAATTTGCAGTCTTTTAATAAAGCCAGTACTGCATTGTTTATTTTGTTTGTGTTGTGTTTCTAGAGCGATGCTTGAGAACTGTGATGTGTGAATGTGTATGTAGGGTGGATGTATGTATTACATAATCTGAATGGTATTTAAACAGACAGATCACATTTTCAAACTTCTTAGTGTGTGATAGATATCACACAGTGCAAGGAACACTCTACCTTTAAAAATAAAATACGTATATTAAAGCTAATATTTTTGTAGCTTTGAAAAGAGCCTTTTAAAGTCTCCTGTCTTCCAGCAATGAGACTTTTTTTTTTTCTACATACCAATCCACCTATTACGAGATCACCAGTAGTTGGTTATTATTATTTATATAGCACCAACATATTCCGCAGCGCTGTACAATGGGTTGATGGTTCATTACACTACTGGATTTTAATACTATTGTCATATGTACATTTATATTTTTGGGGCTTTTCTATTCTCTCTCTCTCACTAAATGTCACTGCTGTATTTTTAAAAGTACATGACAAATTAATTTCCTCTGCATGTTTTTCTTTTCCCCCTGTGTTAGACCAGATTTTGTTGCAGACGGTATCTATCTGGTTGCAGATTTTTTATCCTGGAAAATCGCAGATTAAGTGGTGTTCAACGAACGTACTACGTAAGCGGTCAACGAAAAAACAGAGACCACTTCATTAATCATTTTAAAGAGGACAAACTTGCAAGCTGTTAACTTTAATGTGATCCTACGATTGGTCCATAAAAAGCAAACACAGCTTTTTCTTGTTTATTTATAATTTATTTTTTTAATTCTTTTGGCAAATAATGAGTCTTGCAAACAGCCTGAACTGCAGTGACACATCCCGTCTTAGAATCCTCCTGACCCAGCTACTGAATGAACTAGCCCAGGCCAACAGCACCAGTCCTTCGACAGACAATGATACAGACGATGCCTACTTGTATATTTTACTCATTATGATCTTCTATGCGTGCCTTGCTGGGGGACTTATCTTGGCCTACACTAGATCAAGGAAAGTGGAATCTAAAAATGACCCCTACCACATGTACATTGAAAGAGAATGGGCTAAACAAGCTAAGAATTTACAGCCGCAAAATCAATGTGGTAGCATTGAAAGTGAACAATTACTGTGATCGAGATGCCGCATATTGCACGGAGAGAGCTGTCACTTTCTGGACCTGAAACGTATTCCTAGAGAGGGATTAATCTATGAAGAATTCTGTTAATGAAATGCAGCTATGAAAAAGGTCTGGACTTGGGCCACCTCATCCAGCAGCAATGAGATCCTTTTTTTTTTTTTAAAGAAAACTTATGGAGCAATCAAAGGGTTAATAAAGTTTTTATATTTTTTCCCTTTTGTGATTTCACGACTTAGGGGGTATACTCACTAAACAGTGAATTGAAAACCATATTTACAAAATTTAAGGTTGAGAATGTTTCCAGTTGGGCTGTTTATTTCAAACTTGTTTATAGTGAACACCATATTGAAGTTTTTGTTTTTTTTACTTAAGACCCAAAAACCGGGATCAGCTATGCTGTGAACACTCTGTGCTTAACGACCAAACATGGCTATAACCCAGGGTTCTATTTGTGATGTAATAGAACATTGCCCAGTGACGCTGGCAGTATTTGGAATGGATATCTGTATAAATACATTACACAATTCTAATATTTGCTGCAGGGATCTTTAAACACAATTCATTGTCTATTACACAAATTACATTGCTCCTTTTTTTTAGCCTCACCCATGACGTAATATAGTGGATGGTTTCCGCACTGCCCTGAATAAAAGACATGGAAAGTAAAGCTCTACAGGGGTGTATGTATAAGAGACACACTGCTGCTTGACAATTATATGTAGTAATGGCAGGATATTGGGCTCTTTCTTCCTCACTCCAAACACCATAACCACAACAGTATACTCTGTCCTGGCACTCCCCAGTATTCCTGTCACAGTTTGGGTACCTGGCCCCACTGTCAGCAATGTAAAAGGTGATTTTATTCCCCTTTATTTCAGCGCTGCACAGCTCCTCCTTGCAGCTGGTGACACCCCATGCTCCTTCTTTTTGACTGAGATTGTCAGTATAGGAAAGGTTTGTGAGGCTATTGCGCATGCGTGGCAAAACTTGAATCAATGCATCTCTATGAGGGACGTTCAGCACCTCCAGGCAAGGCATTGAGATGCTGAATGTCAGTGCTGCACATTGTGCACCACTAACCTAGGAAGCACTTCCTAGACAGCAATTTCTCTCTGAAAAAGCAGTGTTTACATTTAAAAGCCTGCAGGGTCCGGATATGGACACCAGAACACCTATATTAAGCTGTAGTTGTTCTGGTGACTACAGTGTCCGTTTAACAAAGAGAGCTTCCAGCAGAGAGGAGATGTGGAGAAGCTATTACTAAACAGTCTGACTCTTCGGATTGGTGGGGCCCATGGTATTCCTGGGTGCTGTCGTGATTAGGATGCTTAGACTTGTCAGAGAACAAATAATCCCCCAATAGTGATAACAATCTCTAGTTAAGAACACATTGCAACAAGTAAATACATTCTTTAGCCAGTATCTGTTGTGTCTAGTCAATAACCTTAACAGATTTACTAGATTTTATTTCCCATATACGTGTAAAATGAGAACTTTCAAGAATTCAAAATAAATTCCACATTTTAGGCCAAGATAGACAAACTGAGACCAAAGCTGAATTGGAGAATTTGTTCAATGCAGCTATTTTGTTCTATAATTTGAAATTCACTTTCTTAATAACCCTGACCGTTCATTGTTTGGCACTAGGCCACGTGTAATGCTAAAGAGCCACCAAACACTGACATTGTTATTCGTTCATGTGTTCATTGTCAGGAATTTAACGTGAAATTCACATTTTAGGACAAAATAATGTTTGAGTTCCTGATTTTCTCCAAATTAGCTATGCTTTTAGTGTAGATGGTTTAGTTTAAAAATTTAAATTCAACTTGAATTCTCAACAATGCACACTTTACTGTAAAACCCGTTAGAAAATAAGACTGCTTGCTCTGCTGACAATCACACTCCAGCTACTCCAGTGTCCTAATGCCCTCAGCACTCCGTACTACGCTCTAATAATGCACTAGTGTTGTGCTGGCTGAGGTCAGTTGTCTGGTATCTCCAGATGCAGGACAGTAGGATGGCAGGATCAGAGTCCAAAAATAAAAATAAGAAATCTTACCAATATCACAGGCTGGCTCAGAGTCTGGGGATTGTATTTCCAGCAGACTGTGTTTTCAGTATTAGAACATACATGTGTTAATTTTTTTTAAATTAGCTTTGTGCTTCTTTTGATAATATTCTGATAGTGCCAAATTAAAGTGACTCTCCAGGCAAACAGTTTTACTCACCTGGTTCCAGTGCCTGGAGCCTCGTGAAGCCGTGCTACCTATTTCATCAAAATGATGAAATAGGCGGGCGCGAGCAGGGAGCAATCAGACGCTTCCATTTGGAAGCATCATTGCTCCCTTGTGCGCATGCGTGGCTTCGCCGCACATGCGCACATACTTCAGAGGGCGGCATTCATGCCGCCCTCTGAAGTCCTGAGTACACTACCGCGCGTGTGAGCGGCCCCGAGCTGACTGACAGCTCAGCTCGCGGTCTTTGCCCGCCCCCTCTCCTCTGCTGACAGGCAGAAGAGAGAAGGCGCGCACACAGTGCCTTCTCTCTCCTGCAAACGTCAGATGTATTTTAATACGTCTGACGTGTACAAGGCCTTTTTAGGGCCCTGCATGATAGGAAGTCCCTCTGATGGCCGTCTGAGTGACGGCCACTGGAGGTATTCCTATCAATCAATGTAAACACTGTATTTTCTCTAAAAATACAGTGTTTACATTAGATTGCCTGCAGGAAGCTATAGATCATACCTGAGCAACTACATTAAGCTGTAGTTGTTCAGGTGACTATAGTGTCCCTTTAATCTATATGTGAAAGGTACTTTGTTATACTAAATAGGGATCGACCGATATTGATTTTTTTAGAGCCGATACTTTGTGAACTTTCAGGCTGATAGCCGATAGCTTACTGATATTCTGTACATTATTTGTATTTTTTTGCAAAACTTTTTTTTTAATTAAATGGTAAATGCACAAAATATACATTTCAGTCAGATTTTTTTTTTATGTTTTCAAGAATATTTATGTGTGTGTAGTGGATGCAGTGAGAGTATTTGATTAGTAAATGCAGTGTGTGTGTTTGTGTAGGGGATGCAGTGTGTGTGTGTAAATATGTGCGGTAGGAACTTCCCTCCCCCCCCCACCCCTTACCTGTTTTAGTGCCCCCACATTCCCCTTAATGTCCCTCCCCTACCCCAGTGTTCCTTTCCCCTTCCCTCCCCTGTACCTTTGTGTCCTCCCTTAAAGTTTCTTTCCCCCTTCCCTGTCCTATAGTGTTCTTGACCCCGCTTCCCTTTCCAATAGTGTTCCTTACCACCCCCGTCCCATAGTGATCCTTACCACCCCTGTCTCCCCCATAGTGCCCCTCTCTCTCCCCTCCTTGGTCCCCGCTCCCCAATATGTCTCTTGTTAGCGTGGCCGAGCGGAGCAGTGCGCACCGTGGTACAGGAGATTCAGTCTCCTGTACCCGGCCGGACTGACAGGAAGTGCTCTCTCAGTGAGCACTTCCTTTCAGTATGGCCGGGTACAGGGAAAATAAGTTCCCGTACCGCAGTGCGCACTGCTCCGCTCGGCCACGCTACACAGAGTGCCTGGCAGGAGGGAAGGCTGTGCGCCGGTCACGCCGATCTAGCGCCTCCCCCCGCCCCTTACAGATGCCCCGGCCCACCCATTCATTATCGGTATTGCCGGTGAATACCGGACGATACTTACAAAAAATCGGAATATCGTCAAAACCGATAATCGGTCGATCCCTAATACTAAACAATTAATTGTGTGGCTATAAATTGTAAAGATTGGCAGGGATCATGTAAATCCTGACTTGCCTTTCCAGAAGAACGGTTTCGGGTAGGTACATAGAAGTTCCCAGCATGCTCGTTGGCTATGATTCATTCTTGAGCCGATCCATGATGATGCTGGGTAAGGCGTTTGCTGCATATTCAGTTAGAGAGATATAGTTAGAGATTAACAGGGCACTCATGTTATCCACATCAAAGTATTTTTAATAAGGAGTTGGTTCATTGTTTGGGCTTAAAAGGTGTTTGCAATCCTTTCTGTATAGTTCATTTACAATGTTATCCACAGCAAAGTATTTTTAATAAGGAGTTGGCTCATTGTTTGGCCTTAAAAGTTGTTTGCAATCCTTTCTGTATAGTGTTAATTTACAATGACAATGAACGTACGATTGCATTGTGTTTTTAAAATTCCCTTTTTTGGTTTGGAGATCCCAGGCATTCCTTTCTGGCATTTTTTCTATATTCTGATGCCATGTGGCAGAAGCTCTCGTAAAAATTTCAAGATTAACAAAACCTTCCAAACACCATACCAGTACAACCTTGTTGACCCCGTAGTGAATGGATGGACAATGTACCTATGTTCTACCGGCACCTTTCGTTGCCTGCCTTGGTACCGTAAACTCCGTACAGGGCCGACTCAGTGGTAGAAGCTTCTGGCAGCAGGGGAGGCAGTGGCGAGGATCCAATTCAACCCTAGTACCATAATAACTACAAAATGTTCTTATATGCTGGATGCATATACGAAAGGCAAAATAAAGTATATTGCAGTTTATCGTGGTAGAGCTTAACATTTGAAGTAGTATGCTGCTAGCCAGGCCTTAAAATCCTGGCTTAACAATTCTGCGTTATCAATGTCAGTTATGTCCCACCTAGACAATTTTGATTGGCTGTAAGTGCTGAATACAGGCTCTCAGTCAAACAATGTTGTCCAAGTTGGTCAAAGTTGATATTGATTAATGGAGAACTGCTAATTCTGCATTATCAATGCAGTCGAGGAAGACCCTGTTCCTGGACACACTCACACCCCTAAGATTAATGTTGCCCTTTTGTCCATTTGAAATATTGGGTGGTATGCACATAAAAGGATACCTTGAAAAGTGATGGGCAGAGTCCTACTGTGAATGAAAGCAAGCTGTTTTGGCTCAGTTCTGTATTTTGGCACAGTTCTGCCATTCAGATTTAATTAGCAAAAGTTTGGAGTTTAGTAAACAACTCTGTTACAAGATACTACAGTTCTGAATACTCAAATTACAAATAAACTGATTTGCTTTAAGCAATACACAAAAAAACAAGTGAATTGCTTGTTCGAAACTTTTTTTAGAATTGGTTGGTGTGTTTTTTGTGTCAAAATTGTATGCCAGCTCTCCAGAAACACACTTAGAAATATTCCTTGTGGAAACAATTAGTTTTTAAAAATGAAATATGCATACAGACATAAAGCACACACGTCTACCTTCTGAGGTTTTTAAGGAACTCTTTTATTTTCCATTTAGAGTGGAGGCTGTTTTATAATATACACTGAGTGACAATGGACAAAAAGGGAATTCCCACATCAGACAAAACTGAGTATTTAGTACATACAAAAAGAAAAGCTACGTAATGGGATTCAATAGTGTTTGGAATTCAGAGCTGTATTCCTAATACTATAGTGCCCTCTGGTCCCCCCTCTCGGGCGGCCCCTCCTTGCAATACATAAAGGGTAAAAAAAAACCACTTTATTTACTTACCCAATTCCAGTGCCGATCTCCCTTGGCACTGGGTCAGCGATACGCCTCCTTTGACTTAATCCGATGGGAGGATCAAATACGCATGCGCGACGAGCATTGCGAGCACATTAGGCCCTCTCCATAGAAATGCATTGCCTCAATCCTTTTTTGTGGGGATTTTGCTGACTGGATTTCCGCATGCAAAGCGCTCGGAAGCGCCTAAACTCCCTGAAGTGCCTCTAGGGGTATTAAGAATTAATCAAAGTGTTGTAGACAGTATCTTTTTTGGCTTTATTTGGTGTAATATTTTAATCTGTAATTTTTCTTTCTTCCATTTGTTGCTTCTTCTGAGCCCTAATCGTCAGTTTTGATTATAGACCATTTTTTCGATGACACAAAGGATTAGAGATAAGCAAAGTCACATGGATATTTGTTCTTTCAAAAGCTTGTTAGAAGTGACACAAAGTAATTAAAACCAGTCAGATGAGAGGAAATCTGATTGGCTTGCTTGAAGGTTGCAGTAAATTCGATTTCACGTCTAGAAAGTGCTATAAAAGGCAAACTAGAACTGAATTCATTTTTGCACAGCCTATTGTTTATTATTTGGGACATTTATAATCCCAGCATTCCTTCATTGTTGGATCTGGCAGTGACAAGTCATACCATCATGCCATGCAGTTTAAATCCACAGGGTGATGCCTGCAGTACTGGAATGGAAACACAACCTTGACAAAATAGGCAGATTATGCATAATGATATACAAACATATCACCTTCTAAATGTAGTACTTATGTACATTGAAAGACCTACCTAATGTAACTTCTATCACAGGGCCTGACGTACATTCAGTGCAGAATCTGCCTTTACTGGGTGGGGGGGCAGACAACAGTACAGCTACAGTCTGGAGCTGCAATTTGTTAATAGCTGAAAAACAACTGTACGCTATGAAATTTCTCAGGAACTGGTGAAATTCCTTTTGACTGCAGCTTTTTTAGGGGAAAGCGACATTGGTGCCCACTGTCAGGATTACTGTTTGATCCAGCACGTAGAACTGTACAGCACGGATGACAAATAAGTAACGTATTACCGGTCCTTAGAATGGCCAGATTTAACGTACAAAGAATAGTCAAAAATACTAGCCGAGGTCAGGGAACACAGAAAGGGACACAGCGATGAGAAAAGCCAGGAGTCAGGATACCAGAATATAGAGAAGTCAATAAACAAAGCTAAAGTCAAAAACCAGGTAGAAAACTATAAAACAGGAACGCGCTCTCAGACAACCACAAGGGAAACCACGACAGGGCACTGAGCAGGCTGAGAACTGGGCCTAAATACCCCTCCTTTAGTTCTGATAGGCTGTAACCGGCCTTTGACCCCAAAGTCAGTTACCAGGTTTCATTTGCATAATTGCTGCTCAGCATTAGCCCTTCTGTGGATTAGGTTGCTGCTCGGCACAACTTTTCCTGTGTGGACAGTAAATGTCATTAATCACTTTTCTCTAAGCGGATGAATACCTGACACCAGGTTTCATTTGCACAATTACTGCTCAGCATTAACCCTTCTGTGGATTAGGTTGCTGCTCGGCACAACTTTTCCTGTGTGGACAGTAAATGTCATTAACCACATTTCTATAAGCGGATGAATACGTGACACCCACACCTTGTTTTTAATGCTCTTTATTTACTGTTATTTTAAAGGGATTAATGTATAAAGTATTACACTCTCTGTATATTGTTTGGTATAATTTAACAAGTTGCACCTTATTACACTGCCACTTTAAATACATTTTTACACAAATTTAAAAATGATTTTTAAGCAATATATTTCATTAATAAGCGCTCCATCATATACTTCACACATTTTAACCTTTTGAGCTACTAAAGGAATAACATATAGGTGTTTTGAGCAGCTAATTAAAATAAATAAATAAATAAAATAAAAATATACAAATATAAGTGTGTTATAACACGCACAAATCTATTGCCAAAATTATACGTGTCCCTGAAAACATGGTGTATATAGTAAACCTAACTATACCCCTCAATACACACACATGCACCCTACAGCTTTTATACATCTAAATATACTACATCCCCTAATACACAATGCAAACCCAATTTTTACAACGGAGGTCAGTGGGGGCCACATGTCTAAGTTTCGCTTAAGGTCTCATAAAACCGAGAGCCGCCACAGTACGACGCAAATTGTCCGCCTCCACCACCACCACAGACTTTTCAAAGAGGAATGACATTCTTGATTCGCAGCTTATTATAGCACTGCCTGTTTAGCCCAAAGCTTAGATTCTACATAAAGAATGTGCTTTTACTTTTGCCTTAGCCCCTGGCAATGAATTCAGACATTTTATTGGCCAGGGCCCTTTTAACTTACCTATTGTGATTTTTTTCAGTTATGCACTTGATTCTGACCCTATTTGCTTTATCCCTACAATTCCTGGATAAGAATAGATTTGAAAAAAACAAAAAAAACAACACATATAAAACATGAAAAATTTTTCTTCAAACCGTCAGGAAATAAACATTTTTATGTGGGGCTACAGGAAACCTTACAGCTGCAAGCTAGTAAAAATGTTGTCTGTTTGATATTTTGACTGCTATGTGCTAATGACTGCGTGTGTGTGATAATTTCTATCAGAAGAATTCAGAAACACATCACCAATCCAGGAAATGGGCACCCTGATCACCATGGCAACATGTTCTAAAAGAAGAAAACCTGGAAACCATTAGAGCTAGGAAAACAAAACCAACTAAATGGGGGGAAATCTAATTACTGGTAAAGTCTGCTACGGACGTTGAAGGGATTCTATAGTGTAACGCATACAAATCTGTATTCCTAGTACTATACTGCCCATCTAGTCCCCCCTTCCCTCGCACCCCTGCCATGTAAATGGTTAAAAATTCTTTATTTACTCACCGGAATCCAGCACCAATGTCCCTCGGCGCTGGGTCAGCACTCCGCCTCCTCTGTTGTCATCCGACGGGGGAGCCTAATGCTCATGCACAGCAAGCATTGCCTCAATGCTTTCTATGGGGTTTTCACTAATGCCAGACAACCTCTTGTAGAGCATGATGGGGTCCTGCATCCTTATGGGACCTAGAGCCTGTTAGCATTCAGGAAGTGCCTTTAGTGGTTACCTGATTGACAGCCACTAGAGGCAGTCTTAGTCCTGCAAGGTAATCATTAAAGTTTCTCAAAAACTGAAATTATTTACATTGCTGGACTAAGTGAGACTGGGACACTGCACCCAAACCACTTCAATGAGATGAAGTGGTTTGGGTGACTATAGTGCCCTTTTAATTTCAGAACACACGTTTCTCAGAGTTTATTTATAGTTGCATGGGGGTTTCCAGGTTCTGTCCTCCAATGCTTCCATGTGAAACTGTTAGGTCTATCACTTAATAAGAGACCAGTGAATATCCTCCTAGTAGTTCTGCAGTCAGTATAGAAATGTATACATAAAAAATGTCTATATATGTGTAATACTGCAATTCCAGATAACTAGGAATGAAAAATGTAAGCAGGTAAGAGACAATCAGCAGCTTATATAGCAACTTTAACCAATGTAAAGTTAATTCAATACAACAAACAGTAGCATCAATGAATATGTTAAAAAACCTAAAAAAAACAAAATTAGCTCTAGACTCCAAGAACAGCCGACAAAAAATATCAAACAAATAGATTTAGATATTTTTTTTTAAAAAGGCCGGCCTCTCCTTTTCCTAGTGTAAATAGGGTTCCCTCTCCCCCCTTTTTATTTTATTTTCCTTTCTCTCTTCTTAAATTCCTTCCTGACTTCAATTTAGAAGAAAACAAACAAAAATCTGGAAGCATACATTTGTTAATGACAGTTGTCAGTGCTTCATCTTACCTTTGTGAGTTACTTACCGGTAGTTACAGAAACATAAAGCAATGTCTACCTGTAAGAAAAGGCAGAGCTTAACCCTTTAAGGAGTGAGCCAGTTGTACACGTTGTGATCAAAGCAAAGTGTAAACAAAACCTGGAATTTGCGCTATATGTCTGCTCAACCATAATTCACCCTTTTCATATCATTATGCACCCACACTTATTGTATATATATGAAATATAATTAATTATGAATAAAATCTTAAAAAATGTGAGAAATTAAGATTTTTAAAATTTTCTTTTAGTTCTGCATGCCATTTTAACTGTGAATGTCATAATACCGTTAGCTTTTACCACAATAAAATACACATATTTGTATTCAGCAAAGTCTCATGCGTACAACAGTACCCCTATGTATCGGTTTTATGGTATTTTGGAAAGTTACAGGGTCAAATATAGCATGTTTAATTTTTAAGTTTATACACATTGAAATTTGCTAGACTGGTAATGTTGCCTTTGAGACTGTATCATAGCCTAGAAATGAGAATTACCCCTATGATAGCAGACCATTTGCAAAAGTAGACAACCCAGGGTATTCAATATGGGGTATTCCAGTCTTTTTTAGTAGCCACTTAGTCACAAACGCTGGCCAAAGTTAGCATTTATATTTGTTTGTGTGTTAAAAATGCAAAAAAAATTGCAATTAATTAAATGACTTAATTATGTAAAAATATTACATAAATATGCACGTAGAAATTAAATATATATACATATTTATATATTTGAAGTCTATGTGTATATTTATGAAATTATTTATGTAATTATGTATATGGATATATATATATATATATTTCATATTATTTTTTTTCTTTATTTATATATACATAGATATATGTATGATTTCATTCTAAGTGTATTTTGATATAAATATATATATATTAATGTAAAAATACAGTTAGACTAAAATGACACACATATATATATATATATATAAATAAATATATATAATTAAAAACATTTTTGTTTTTATTTCTCTCAAATATTGTTCACAAATCTGTCTAAATTTGTGTTAGTGAGCACTTCTCCTTTGCCGAGATAATCCATCCACCTCACAGGTGTGGCATATCAAGATGCTGATTAGTCAGCATGATTATTCTGCCCACAATAAAAGGCCTAAAATGTGCCTATTGCGGTCATGTGGTCACATGGCCCGCGGGGGCCTAATTTGCTGAGGGGGGACCCTCTGGGCTGTCAGGCAATCCCCACAGCCCGGGATCAATCGGTGGGATCGGCGGCGATCAGGTAAGTAATAAGGACGGTAGGGACGTTCTATGCCGCCCACCGGCGTTTAGAGCCACCCTAAAAAGAACGGCATAGAGCACAGAGAAATAGGAGAGGTTGTTATGACAACACTGCAGCAATGACAACATATTGTAATTATCAGACTCTCAAATAGGAGAAATTGTCTCTGCACCTTACACTGTAAATTGGCTTTATAATACTGTAACGTACAATTGCAGGAGAGATGGACTACGTCTTAGAACGTCATGAAATAAATGGTTTGTGTTTACAAATTTTAAATCACAGTTAAATTTCCCATGACAAAATAAATAAACATACCAATAAAAGCAGTCAGGAACTTGCTTCAGAGAGCTAACTGCTCATGGGAGCCAATAAACAGCCCAAGCTATGCACTGACAATCAGTAAGATAAGCTAGGTTCAACGTTGTCATCAGGTTAGTACTGTACATGTTTGGCCCTGGGGGAAACAGAACACTCATAGCGATCATCTAAAGCATTGATTCATTTGTATCAGTATTATTATCTTGAGTTTGCCCTCCATTCAGGGTCGGTGCAAGGATTCCTGCTGCCATAGACAAAGATCTCTTTTGCTGCCCCTTTTGAATAGAACTACATTCTCTCAGAGGTTTATTTGTATCTGTGTTGGAGAATTCTTCTAGATCAGCTTTTTTGGCCATTTGGTTTCCAGTTAGGTCTGATCAGCTGTCCCTTTCCTCTGCTGTTCTCATTTCTCTCTCTTAACAATCTGTGTATTCTTTCTCATCAGCTTTTATCCCATCTTTCTCGTCTTCGTCTCTTTCATGAAGCTTGCAGTGTCAATGTTCACGAGTTCTCTGCTCACTCTTTCCACTGATTCTCTCCTGGCCATCTCTCTTTATTCTGATAGGGTTATCCACTAAAGTGGGGATTTGTTTGATATTCTAACTAAATTTCTAATTTACGGCCAAAAAAAAAATGGCAACATTTTCCAGATGTTACTGTGGTATCTGGCACCAAGACATTAGCAGCAGATCCTTTAAGTTCTGCTAAGTGTAAGGTGGTGCCTTCATAAATCGCATTTGTTGTTCCAGCATATCCCATAGATCCTAAATCAAATTGAAATCTGCAAAATTTGAAGGCCAAGACAACACCTTGAACTAATTGTCACGTTCCTCAAACCATTGTTGCTGAAAATTTTTTGCAGTGTGGCTGAGTACATTATCCTTCTGAAAGAGGCCATCATCATCAGGGAACACCATGAAAGGGTGTACATGATCTGCAACAATCTCTAGGTAGGTGGTATGTGTCAAAGTAACATCCACATGAATGTCAGGACTCCAGGTTTCCCAAGAGAACATTGCCTAATGCATAACACTGCCTCTCACAGACTGCCTTCTTTCTATAGTGCATCCTGCTGTCATCTCTTACCTAGATAAAAAAAAAAAACACACATATCCGGTCAACCACCTGACCTAAAAGAAAATGTGACTTTGCACCCTTCTTCCATTGCTCCATCATCCAGTTCTGACAGTCACATCCCCGTTGTAGGCACTTTCGGTGGTGGACAGAGGTCTAACCAGTCTGTGGCTACGCAGCCCCATAATATGTTTTTCAGCAATTTAAGCTACAGCAACTCTTCTATGTGATTGGACCAGACGGGCTAGCCTTCGCTCTCCATGTGCATCAATGAGCCTTTTGCACCCATGAACCTGATGTCTATTCTCTGGTTGTCCTCCCTTGTACGACTTTTGGTAGAGACTAACCACTGTATACCAGGAACACCCCACAAAACTTGCCATTTTGTGATGGGTAGAGGCTCTGACCCAGTGGTCCATCCATCACTATTTGGCCATAGTCAAATTCACTCAGATCTCTTCACTTGCCCATTTTTCTTGCTTCCAACACATGAAATTCAAGAACTGACTGTTCACTTGCTGCCAAATATATCCCACCCCTTGACAGGTTTGTTCCACTGTAACAATATAATCAATGTTATTCACTTCACCTTTCAGTGGTTTTAATGCTGTGGTTGATCAGGGTAGGTGCTATGGGGAAGTTGCAGGTGTGACCAAGTACCTAGAACTCTGCACACCTTCCATTTTTGGTGAATGGTGACAAAGCAGCAGAAACTGTACATCAAGTGGATCATGAATGCCTCTTGAATTATCATATGGCATTATTTTACTATATTCACGGTTCTGTATACTTGTATGACCCAACGCCGTTTTGTAATGCTTTGTAAAATGATTTTTGTGAAATTGTATGTGGTATTCAGAGCTTTTAAGGCTACATTTTATTCTAATCTACTTTGCAGTCAAAATAAAATGTATCTCCGGTACAATGATCCTGGAAGGGAAGACATTCAACCAATGAACAGAAAGGAGAGTTTGAGCTCTGTCATCAGAGTAAAACCTCTTCTACTTCCATCTGTTCTCTGTCTCTCGTTGGCTGGGAGAGGTAAAGGAATGGAATTAAACAAGAACCTCTCTGGCTTTAAATGTGAAATTCACATTGAATTCTCACTTTTGTGAAAACCCTGCAAGTTTAAACCTAGAAACACAGCATCAGTCACACCTTGAAGTATGTTTTTATATTATGACGTGTCATCACTCTCTGTGTAGTACGAGTTTTCAAAACATAATGTGTTCATTGAAACGATACATACACACGCGTGCACAAACATACTGACTAGTTAAACAAGACTCCACTCCACCATACACTTCTAGTGTATGTGGAACAGCTGTGTTAAAAATTTAATTTGCCTGCATTGGACATTGTCTGAAAACATCACAGGACTAACCGAGCTATTGTCTTCTGAATTATCCTCAACACAAAGGATCTCAAAGCGTTTTATTTTCAGAACTTCACAGAAGTATCTGCAACCCCCTCAGGCTATGAATGGGATTTCAATGAATGCCATCTGTCACTCTGAAAGGAAATGATTAAACAAAAGTCTTTATGATGAATGACGTCTGCACTCCTGCAGTAAATATCTTTGTATTTTTTCTTAGTAACCATATGCCTCACCCGGTCACCAGCTTCTGTTATTTATTTCCACCACAATCCATATGACGCAACCGGAAGTGCGGCTCAAGCCTCTCTTCCAGATCGGATCCAAATACACATCCTTGCATTCCACCTAATATGCGTTCCACCACTCATTCACAGAGCGGAAAGCATCCACAAACATAAAAAAATATGTAAAAAACATATATATACACAGCATCAATTATACTTACAACAGTAATCTTAAAAATAAAAATAAAATATTTGGTTCTATATATTGGTTCCTGTCTCAAGGATCCCTAGTTGGTATATAACACAGAGTGTGACATATAATGTTATACTCCCAAAAAAATACAAATCACCTATAATTTTTTAATCACCTATAATTTTCAACAACAATGTCATAGGAAAAAGTGCAAAAAGTGCATAAAAGGCAAAAATGACAAAGAAAAGGACAAAGGTGACAATATCAAATAACAAAAATCAAAGAAAACAAATTAAATCAAAATCAACATTAAGTCCCCTTGGTTGCATTGTTTGTAAGGTATGTATCCAATAGCCCTCTCTTTTTCTCAATAGTAGCAAAAGGTCTCCACCTCTTTCATCTAAGGCTACTTGTTCAATGATAGTACACTGAAGGACATTAAAACTAAAAAGTGTACATTTATTGCAATGCACTGGTACCGAATGTGTCAACATATGTTTTTTAATGTTGTTCCTATGTTCTTGGAACCTAACCTTTGCCTTTCTTCTTGTTCTACCCACATATTGCAACCCACACCCACATGTGAGTAGGTATACAACATGTGTGGAAGAGCAGGATACCGTGCCTTTGATCTTAAACTTTTTCTTATTTTACGTACTGGC